GTAGCCTCTAAGTAGATCTTCATTATATCTCACTTGAGTTGCTGCAAATATTTCCAAGGTAATTTATTTCCCAGTACTCACAAGGTCAAACACACACTGCCTCCAGAGTTATCTTCCTAATGAACAAGCCATGAGCAAGGCCCACTAGTACAATATAATAGACATATAAAAGCAGAAATTAAAAGGATGTTATAAAGAAGAAATATTTAGAAGAGTTTAATCAAAGAAAGAGACAAACAAAATTCCATTTAATGTAGTAATGTGTGATCTAGAAAAAATATGGCAGTTTCAGTTTTAAACAGGGAATGTTGCCATCAGAAGAGGATATCTAAAATCTAATAAATAAGCCAAGTGAATAACTGTGAAGAGTGTTATTGGTAGAGGGAACAGCATGACTAAGGGGCTTGTTCAGTGAATGGCAAAGAATCAAGGGCAGCTAGAGTGCGATGAAGATGAAACAGGTCTCTGCTCTACAGTAAAAATAAAGGAGCAATGAATATAAGATGCTGTTGGAGGATAATGTGAATGGAACCAAGGTAACAGCAAAGGAGATGTTCCAATTTAGCCAGACAGAATGCAATGATGGATGAATATATGTGTAAAAGAAAACTCAAGAATCACTTCAACATTTGAGGCTAAGAGATTTGAAGAATGGAGCCATTAACAAAAAACTTTGATGAGAATAATGTTTCTGAATAGGTTTTATTGTTTCAAAGCTAGGTGAACAATGTGGTTAAATGCATTCAAAAAGATCATTACAGCAGATTAAGCAGCGGAGTACATTTGAGCTCTTAGCTTGCTTCCATAGTTTGGCTATTGTAAATAGTGCTACAATGAACACAGGGATGCTAATGATGTAAGTCAGAAGGAGAAAAATAAATGATGTCACTTATATGTGTAATATAAAGGAACAATACCAAAGGTCAGGTAAAACCGAACCAATAATAAACCCTAGAAATCTGACTATAAAACTGAGGCTACCTGAGAGGGAGGGAGAGAGACAGAACAAAGTGGGGAGGAGCACAATGGACTATGATGGAAGTCATTGGGTGCCTTGGTAGTGGAAGTGGTCTAAAAACATACACCTGAAGGCTGTATTCCTATACCTCTAAAACATATACAATGTTCTATATACCAATACTAAACATATACCTATGTAGCTGCAATGAAATAAACACAAACAAAACATCACCAATATTGCTGAATTACTATCCCCAACTATATCCCCTGCATTTCGGTCAGCAAGTTACTATTGTCTTGTGCTCTAACTTCACATCCTATTCTGATTGTTTGTGGGAGGAGGAAGGATGTTTTCTATAGACCCAAGCAGAAAGAGAGATTTTCATTAACAATTCAACAATGCACTATCATTATTTAAATTTTCAAAAAAAAAGTTATTTTACTATGGAAGATACTTCTCCAGAGGCTCTTTCCTTTGAGTTTCAAAAATTTGTAATTTTACACATGTTAACATAGCACTTAGATTGAGACAAGCCCTATTCTGCCTACTACAATGTAGAGAAGTTTATGAATCCTATATAAGATGAGAAAATTGAAGCAGAGAGGACAAGCAACACCCCAGAGATGATGTACCAATTCTATCTTCAAGATTGACCTTCCTTACCCTCCTTTCTCTCAAATATTTTTGGTGTCTGGCTTTTTTTTTTTTGTGCTTTATTATTAAAATACAATCTAGAGATCTAGAGGTTGCCAAGTCTGATAACAGAGAAGTATACTATAAAAGGACATGACAGAAGTTTTGGGGGTGATGGATATATTCTATGTCTTGATTTGGTGGTATTTATGCAATTTTGTGTGTCAGTAAAAAACATAAAAGACTGAATTTATCATATGTGAATTATATAGCAATAAATGATGTTTGAAAATATAATCTAACAACTATATCTTGATGCATGTTGGGAATCAATACATTTTACCCAAAGATAAAATGAATTTCTCATACTGCCTAATTTATTTTAATATTTTTTTCTAATTAAAGTAATATTTTTTAATGTGATGGTCCAAAAGTGTTTGCTGACTAAGTACATTTTTTCCATGTTACTTTTCTCATATGACTTCAGTCATTTTTACCACAGCAGAAAGAATTAGGTTTCTTCAATGATTTTATTCCTTTTCTGCAGGGAATCTCAAATAAGCTTTCTAAACATTTATCATAAAGTTTAGTGAAATTTTGTAAATAGTTAAATAGAGCATGACTTTAACTGCTGCTAAAAGCTGAGAGATGTTCTGAATTTATATTTCAGATTTGTTATTAAAAGTCATGCTTTCCAGGTTGTTGTGTATTATCATGAGCTTAGATAATACCTCAAGACCAAATATGTTCTTAAGGCAAATTTAATTGCTTATGATATAAAAGACAAAACTATTTTTCATAGTCTTTTTGATTATTCTATGTTTTTAACTTAGATCTTAACTAATCTGAAATTATCAATAAATCTATCATATAATGAATCAGAAATATCCTATATTTAAGAGTAGGAAAATACTAGTTCTGACATTTTTCTAATTATTGACACGGCATGGATTAATCAAATAATCTCTGTTATATAATTAATGTACAATACTTCAGAAAATCAATTGTGTACATATGAGGTCTAATCTAGTTCAAAATTGGTAATAATTACATTAATGTACATATTATTGGTAAACTAAAATCCTCATAAAAATAAACACTGCCAAACACACCCAGCAATTCCACACAGGTATATATCCAAGTAAATGAACACATATGCCTACACAAAAATATGAATTGATTGTTCAATGTTCCACTATTCAGAATAGCCAAAAAGTGTAAAAGTTCAAGTATCCATCATCTAATGAAGGTATAAATGTGTTTATCCATATAAGAATATTTTTCAAACACAAAAGGAAATTAAGTACTGATTCACACAAGGATAAGATTCAAAGTGAGTGAAATAGGCAGCTACAAAAGATCTCAATGTATGATTCCATTTATATGGCAAGTCCATAAAGGCATAAAGTATTTGTGATTGCCAGAGGATGAGGAGAGAGGGGAGTAAATGCTCATGAGTACAAAGTTCCTTTAAAATAAATGATAAAATTTTTCTGGATTAGATAGTGGTGATAGTTATATGACTTTGGGGACATACTGAAAAACGCTGAACTCTACAATTTAAAAAGACGAACTATGGTACATGGATTATATATCAATTTTTTAAAAAAAGGAAGTAAACACTGCCAATCACTCAACATTGTAAAAATTCCTATGACCCTCTTAATAATTTCTTATTTGGAAAGCTATAACTGTCATTATATTAAATACAAGATTGCTAATTCTATTTATAATTTCTTAAAGAAAATACATATCAGCAGAGATTCTAAAATGTAATTCCAACAATTCTAGTGATACTCTTAAGCACACTCTATAGGTGTCTAGGTTGGAAAATTAAACTTTAATATGGCAAAGAATATTCTATGGATTGTGCCAACCTGTTTTTTCAGGTTCATCTCCAAACATCCTATGACCATGTGGAATCCCTTAATAACACTGGAAATAGCAACCCTTCAATAGTTACTTCTTGTTCCTTTTTGTGGGCTTTTGCAAGATACTCTGTTGCCCTGATACGCGTGACATCACCTTCCCTGCCTCAACAATCCTTCAATGAGTTTCAGAGCTTCTAGTAAGGTTTTAAGAGAATAGAGCAAAAGTGACCTACTCCAACCTTTGTTTCCTTGGCAGTTTGTTATTGACTTTTAAAATGTAAACACAATAATGTCTACAGAGCTTTGTTTTTCCCACCAGCATTTAATTTCTCTGGAGTAAACACATCAAAATCTTGCTTGGCTTAATTTTTTAAATGATTGAATCAGCTTGTCTTTGCTTCACTAAGTAACCACCAAAAATCATTTCACATTCGAATCAGCAGAAGAATACTTGTAAAATTTATGTTAATGTACAGACAAGCTAATAAAATAAATTCAACAATATCTAATCTAAAATATAGGAATAAAAATTGTATTATTTGTATTGTGAACAAATGTGAAGAAAGCAGAGATAACGAAACTAAGGCAAATAAATCTGCAAGAAGGAATATCAACTGGAAAATTCAGTGCCTAAAAAGATGAGTGCAGTATTTTCAGTCTAAAACAACTCAGTATGTTTTTGAAGAAAAAGTACAGAGTATATGAAAACATTAACATTGTAAAAAACATCAATATATCAACAATTCAAAATTGAACATAATTTTATTATGAAAAAGCTAATAAGAGCTGTTATTTGTAATTTTAAGCTATATATTTAAGATAATTTTTATTGTTGACATAACAAAGTCACTTTATAGCAATTAACTTCATTAATTTCAATAAGTAAGGAAATTCCAACATTATTTTTCAATATTGAGATTTGTTTTGACTTCAAATGATATACTAAACAGGAGGCAAATATGTTTACTGGCCTATGATTATACTCCTTGAAGTCTTTTATGTTGCACTCCAAAAACATTAGTTCTGAAAATGATTTGCTTCATATTAAACAGTTCAATGCTATAAAATGAATATATTTTATTTCCTATTATTCGTGTCCTCCATCATGGATATATAATTGAGAGCAAAGGGAATGGATTAACAAAAATGACTTTAAAATATTTTACTATACATGTTTCAATTTAAAATAACTGAGTAGTTATTATTATAAAAGTTTTAAGAACATAATAAAGCTATGTGGATTTCCAAGGAGGGAAAAAGCTACTAAAATTAAATAATTTCAATACCTGTTTACATATAACTGAATTATATTTCCTCACAACAGCAACTACTTTGAGTTATATTTACATATTTGTTCAAATGAAATGTCAGATTTACTTTGCAGAAATATACAAAATTCAATTTTATTAATATTTAAGTGTGCTGAATTTCCAACTTAATACTTATAAAAGTATAAATTAACTTGACTATAAATACATTAAACACACTTAAAAATTACTAACAAATATAACTGAAGACAAGAAACTTCTGATTACCTTAATTTATTCTTCAGTTGCTAAAAATCCATGCTTTTTTCCCTCCAATTTACCGAACATTTAAACATTTCTGTAAAAAAAAACATGAGAAAAATATTTATTTTATGGCAAGAATTATATGGGTAGATTGATGTACTGCTTATTGTCTGCAACATGTATTTTTTCCCACAATGTTTGAATAGCAGCAGAGAAATGGTTAAACACGAATTTCATTTTAAATGTAATGAATCTTGCTACACCATAGTCTACATTACTATAATCTTTAATAGGGAAAGTTGATGAGTTTGGCAGATGTGAAATATTAATGATTCCCTATTAAAAGAATACACAAGTGTCTAACATAATTTCAGAGATTTCCAAGGAACTTCTTGGTTTCTTGCAATGGATACTTTCAGCTAAAATTTTGGGACTGTTTAATTATTTTCACCAGTATTAGCACTGTTGAAAAACCATTGAGAACCATCTTAGTTCAGCTTTCTATTCAAGGGTACCCCTCTCTTGCCTCTCCCTCTATTTCTATGTTTACATACACTGAGACTGTGATTATAATAGTCTAAACAAATTTTTATTTTAAAAACATTAAAAAGGAATAAGCAAAAATACATAGGAATTTCTTTAAATACCCATCTTTTTTCTATTTATTTCATTATTAAATTAAAATTTCACCTTCCAGATAGTTCACCAAAAAAGTAATGTCCTTCAAAGCACTTTCTTTGGGAATAAAATGTTTTCTAATGGCTCAACAATTGATTATATCAATTTTTGAACTTTCAGTGAGTCCATTTAAGTGCTTTATGTTAGCATCAGCTGCATTATTCAATCACTATGATACTTAGAATTTATTATGCTATTAGTAGTACTATGTTATTAGCAGAAGGTTAAGTAACCATACATGCATGAAAACAATGATAAAATCCATTATCTATACTAGAATATTGTCCCCAAATGGACAAAAAAAAATAGATTTGGGCAGAAAGTCATTACCATAAAATTAAAATTGAGTTCTCCTTTACAAAATCAGTATTGATTACCATCAAATACACATGAAAATATATCATTGGGGAAAATATTCAGTAACAAAAGATTGTGTTGAAAGATTTAAAAATATTAAAACAATCAAACTCACTATATTTTCTAGGGAGGTTCTACTGCATTTGGTCATTTAGTGAGATTTTGTACCACTAGTAAAATTTTGCAGCACTGGAGCAATGGAAGTCCATATTTGAATGGCACACTTGACTGAAAGCAATTTTTTAATCACCTACTCAAATTTCCATTCATAAGCATTCCTTCAACAAATTGAAATGTTCCTTCAATAATTACTGGTTCTTTAAAAGTGTGATTTTTCTGATTTTTGACAAACAGGCTTATCCCATCTAGATAGGTGAACAATCATGAGCGACATAATCACAGGCTCATGTGCAAATATGTCACCCTGTAAACCTCTATTTTCTCCCATCTAAGAAAAACACCCTGAAATTCAAATGTGACTAGTTCCCCAAAGTTTTCCACATGTTGCATACACTCCTCCAAGATTTTCCCAGTGCTCCCACAACTCTGTCTATAATCTTCTATTTTGCTGAACCATAGACTGTAACATGAAATGCTCTTAAATAGGGAATTTGACTTCTTTAATTTGTATGACCCTTCCCTAATGAACTAAGTACTAATAAAGCCTCCAAAATGCTAATTAGGTAAACAAAATAATTGCCTTTTATTTAAAAAATGTAAAATTTTTTTTGGAAATAGTCTGTATTGGCCTCATGTAAATTGGGACCAAGCACAAAAATATATTCTACGACATTATTTGTGTCTTTGAATTTGTCTACATAGCTATCTGCACAGGTGTCTTTTCATTTGGTACATAAGAACACACAATCTTCAATTTATAGTTAAGCAATTCAAAGTCTCAGTACTTCACTCAATTACAGTCACTTAAGGCACTTAACTAGCAGACAGCACAGATGAAAGAATAAGCTTCTGTAGAGTCACTTAACCTCCTAAGAGGAAGAAGGCCATGTCTTAGGTAAAACACAAGAAAGGAAAAGGGGAGTGGATGGTAAAGGGAATTGAAGCCAGAAAGGGAAGTGCAGGGAAAGGTATATAAAATGACGTTTTCTATCATAAATTAATAAGTCTGAAGTTTATTTATATTTAGTAAACTTGATTAAAAGGGATTTTTAAAGGAGTTACTAGAATTAATTTTAAGCAATGTGACTACTTTAAAGGAAAGCATTAATGGAGTATGTGTATTTTATGAAAATTAATTCATACAAATCAATGTATTGTCACATTTTCAGTACTCTTCAAAAAAGACAAAAATACAGAATTGTAACTCACTATAGGACTCGCAAATTAATGGAACTATTTTGGATATGGCCACTACCCAAATAAAATTAACTCAATTTGATTAATTAAAAAAGTTATTTTACGGTGATGTGAAAGTAGTATATAAACCTATAAAGGTGTTGATTTATTATATGTACACCTAAAACTTATGTTATAATGCAGTATTACTTAAATAAGGCATTTAAATACACTATATATCAAAACAGAATTGTTCAAAAATTTAAAAATTTAATTGTTCAAAAATTCTAAATTTATAATTTAGAAAAAACTTACAAACAAGCATATATAAAAGAGCAAAAATGGAAAATTAAACAATAAGATTTCACACATCAATTCAAAAAGCATAATAAAAATTAACATTCATGGTAAATGTTCTAATCCTATATAGCAAATTTAAGAAGACATATGAAAAAATGCTCATCATTACGGAAATGCAAATCAAAACCAGGTATGAGATACCACTTCACACCATTGAATATAGCACACACTGAAAAGATCAGAAACAGTAAGTGTTGGCAAGGGTTTGGAGAAAAATGAACCCATTGTATACCGTTAGTGGGAATGAAGGCTGACAATCATATAGAGATTTTTCAAAATATTAAACATGGATTGACCATATGATCCAGAAATTCTACTACTAGTTCTCTAACTGATGAATACACAAACACTATTCTACTGAATATATACACGCCCTTATCATTACAATACTATACACAATAGCCACATTATAGAAGCAACCTAACTGCCAAAGTATAGACAGATTAGGAAGAGATGATAAATATGCACATTAGAACACTACTCAGGTATTAAAAGAAAAAAAAAAAAAGATGAGCTCTTGCCATTTGCAACAACATGGATGAAACTGATATGAAGAAAAAAAAGTCAGAAGGAAAAAGAACAAAACAAGATGGCGTCACTTACATATATGAAATATGGAGAAACAAACAAAACAAAGGGCCAGAACAAACCCTAGAAATCTCACTGTAGAATGCACAGGGGTTGGGGTTGGAGAGGAGAAGGCGCAATGCACTACAGTGTAGGGCTCTGAATGCTTTGGTGATGGGTGTGGTGTCGGAACAAACACCTAAAGGGTGTGATCCTAAACTCTAAATCAAATACAATGTTGTAAACCAATGTTACCTCAATATAAATAAATGAGTGAAATCAATGAACAAATAAAGCAGAACAACTTCACTCAGTCCTTCATCAAATATTTACTCAGTGTCTAGATACCATTCTAAGTGTTACGGATTCAGAAGTGAACTGAACAAACAAAAATAGCATGAGAGTTTCCATTTACATTCTAGCTGGGAACTAAGAAGAGAATGAGGGAGATTAGACAGACATTGATTAACCATACTTTTATACTTTTTTGAAAACATGGTTAAATTTTAAATGCTATTTTTGAACACTCCACATCCCCATTTAAGTTTAAAATAATATTTTGCTTTACTTATATTCTTTTTTGTGGTAAATATATATTTTTATTTTATATATATTTTTACATCATTTCTCATTTTTACATAATGTATGCATTTTCTTCTTGGTTATATTTTCACACAATTCCCAACCCCTTATTTTGACCCTAATCCCACCTCCCTTCCCCATCCTCCTGTATTGTGTCTCTGGTTTATAGTTGCTTGTTGATTTTGATTTTTACTTGATTATAATTAGTCTTTTTCCTGGCCCCTTATTTAGGTTTTCTAAATTCCTGCTATGAGTGAGACCATCTGGTATTTTTCTTTTTCTTTCTGGCTTATTTTTCTGAGCATGATCCCTTCCAGCTCCATCCATGTTGCTGCAAATTGCATGAGTTTATTTTTTTGATTGCTGAGTAATATTCCATTGTGTATGTAATCAGAGAAATGCAAATAAAAACTACAAGGAGATGCCATCTTACACCAGTGAGAAAGGCACATATTAAAAAAAAAAAAAAAAAAAAAACTAGCTACAACAAATGTTGGTGAGAAGGTGGAGAAAAAGGAACTCTCTTGCACTGCTGATGGGAGTGCAAACTGGTCCAACCATTATGGAAAGCTGTGTGGAGATTCTTCAACCTGCTAAAGATGAAGCTTCCATATGATCCAGCAATTCCATTCCTAGGTATTTACCCAAAGGACACAGAATCAATAATTCAAAAGGGCACCTGCACCCCTATGTTTATAGCAGCACTATTTACAATAGCTAAGCTATGGAAACAACCCAAATGCCCAGAAATAGATGAATGGATCAAGAAGATGTGGTACATTTACTTATATTCTTATTTAACCTTTATAAAAATCCTGAAGTTGGTGTGAATATTATCTTCTTTATTTGTAGATCTATATTGTGAGACATTGAGAAGCTAAGCCAGAACTTGAAAACAAATAAACCTAATTCAGAACCTATACCCTCAGGTTTATCAAATAATGTTCTTAGTGATTATCACTGTCCATATTTCATAAAACAAAGTCTATATTGACAGAGCGTAAGTCTCTTGAAAATTTTCATAAAATAATCATCTCAGAATTATATAACATTCAATAATGTTAGATAGCATCTTCATATTCTGTTATTTAAATAAGATTCTAGGAAACCCCTGTAAACATTATTCTGGAATTAAGATGAGAAGTTATTCTATTGCCTTAGTTTTTGTGGCATTAATTCCAAAATTATGTGTGATAACCTACTGGTTCATGAGGCAATGAAGTAGCACATACAAACATATTTTTAAAAGATTGT